TACTACTTATCTTTCAAGACACAGCTCAAGAATAAGTGCTGTGAAACTTTCCCTGAGCTTGTCACAAAAGTAGGTGCTTTTTCATCCATGCTCTGTTCTTTCGGGAGTATCGCTCTGTTATAATTATTATGCATTTGGGTGTCTTCCTGTGAATGTATTCATAACCATCAAAATCATGTATCTGATTACCTACTCTCTTTTTAAGGATGTTTTTTATTTTTATCATCTTGCTATCAAGTGCTACCAAGTCTCTAAAACTTTTCCTAAACCATAAAATCAACAAGGAAAAGAAATAAAAGCACACCCAATACAGGCTTTCAGCATCATGACAGAGAATACCATGATCTTCAAATTAACTATAAGAAAAAAACCCAGTTCCAAGAGAGGACCTGCCACCTGTTGTCAGAAATCTGAGGTACCAGAGAGCAAGGAAGAAGATGCTTAAGAAGTTCCAGTAAAGGGGCGCCTGGGTGGCTCAGTTGGTTAAACGACTGCCTTCAGCTCAGGTCATGATCCTGGAGTCCCAGGATCGAGTCCCACATCGGGCTTCCTGCTCAGCAGGGAGTCTGCTTCTCCCTCTGACCCTCTTCCCTCTCGTGCTTTCTATCTCTCGGTCTCTCTCTCTCTCTCTCAAATAAATAAATAAAATCTTAAAAAAATAAATAAATAAATAAATAAATAAAAAATGTAAAGCAGGGTACAGACATTAAACAAATACAGACAAAATAACCGCCAGGGGGAGAGAAAGATGTAATTAAATGTCATAATACTGAACACATTTTGGGATAGGGTAATTCATAGCACTGGCCAAAAGGCAGGGATCTGAAAATAAGCAAGAGTGGAAGCCTCAGAGAAGCAACATTTGCGGGGGAAGAGTCAGATGTAAATGGTGGTACTCCTTAAAGGTGTGGCAGGAAAGAGAAAGAAGAAAATAAGAGGGATCCTGTAGATCCTAGACAATAACCACACACCGTCACCCATAAAAGAAACTGCATGGAATAGTAAAGCGCTAGCAGACGAGTGCACTCTAATGCTTGAAACACTGTGAGTTAGAATCAAATAGACAAAAGCAGACCATATCTATACAAAACTATATTAGAAAAACCAACGATGTGGGGCACCTGGGTGGCTCAGTCAGTTAAGCGGCTGCCTTCGGCTCAGGTCATGATCCCAGGGTCCTGGGATCAAGCCCCGCATTGGGCTCCCTGCTTGGCAGAGAGCCTGCTTCTCCCTCTCCCTCTGTCTGCTGCTCTGCCTACTTATGGTCTCTCTCTATCTCTGTTAAATAAATAAATAAAAATCTTTAAAAAAAAAAAAGAAAAAGAAAAACCAGTGATGTTAAACAAATAATTTCAGCTAATGAATATTCTCCCAAAGGAACATAATAAATAGTGGAATAAAGCACTACAAACTGAATTAAATTTTCTCAAATAAATAATTGAAAACATAAGAAAATACCAGAAATATATAAATAATAAGTGTGGGAATTGGAATAAATAAAACAAGGGGTGAAAGAACTCCATAAAGAGAGGAAAAAGAAAAACTGCAAAAGGTTGTATCAGAATTGATGCTGAAATTATGAGGTACTCAAAAGGGAGAATAAAGGGACAATTAAGTGAAAATCTATAAAAGACAGTGAGAAAAACAGGAAACCTATCAGAAAAATGAAAATAACATGGAGAAGTAAAAAGAGTCTCAGAGAAATTGTTTGATATAAAGGCAGACAAAAAAGACCAATATACATATAAGTGGAGTCCAAAGAAAACAAAAACACTGGAAAAAAGCTGGTATTTTAAAACTATAATACAAGAACACTTTCCAGAAGAAAAAAAAAAACAGAAGCTATGCATTGAAAGGATCCAGTAGGAACCAGGAAAAACTGACTTAGGGCAATCACCTCCAAAACATAATGTGTTAAAACAATCAGATTTTAAAACAAACGAGCAAGCAAACAAAACTCTTGGAGCTTCCTAGCAAAATGAGAAAGTAATGTTCAAGGACAAAATAATTTTCTACTCATGAGGACACACTGGAGGCATTTCCACAAGGCAAGGACACCCACTATCTCTACTACTATTTAATATTGTTCCGGAATTACTAGCCAATGCAACTGAACAAAAGAAAATAACTGGAGACCTAAGAATTGGTAAAGAAAAAAAGTAAACTATTTCTATTTAAAAATGACAGGGTGGGACACCTGGGTGGCACAGTCAGTTATGTATCCGACTCTTGGTTTCAGCTCAGGTCGTCATCTCAGGGTCATGAGATCAAGCCTCACATCAGGCTCCTTGCTCAGTGTGGAGTCTGCTTGTGTTTCTCTCTCCCTCTGCCCCTTCTACTCATGCATGTGCTCTCTCTCTCTCAAATAAATAAATAAATCTTTTTAAAAAATAACAAATAAATAAATAAATAAATCTTTTTAAAAAATAACAAATAAATAAATAAATAAATAAGACATGGTACTATACCTAGATAACCTTAAAGAATCAATGAAAAAACTAATTCAGTGAAGAATTCATCAAGGTGTCAGAATATAAAATTAAGATGCAAAAATCAATAGCATTCAGTATATAAATAAAAACAAGTTAGAAGATATATTATGAGAATACATAATTTATAATAGCAACAAAAAATATAAAATACCTAGCATTAAACCTAAAAAATTTGCCTAACCTATACAAAGAAAAATCTACAAGACTCCTGAAAAACACAAAAGTAGGCTTGAACAAAGACATATCTTTTCCTTGACATGCCTTCTCCTTGATTAGGATGACTGAATTATCATCAAACTATCAGGTCTATCTAAGTTAATTTGTAAATTTAATGTGATCCCCATATAAATACCAACAATCTGTTTTTTAGTAAAGAGCTAGCCAAGTTGATACTAAAGTTTATATGGAAGAATAAATATGTAGAATGTACAAGGAAACACTGAGAGTAAAACCTAAGATGAAGTATTAGCCCAACCAGATTTTAAAACATACTACATAGTACTACATAGTAAAACATACTGTAGCAAAGGTGCTATAATGAAAACAGCCTGGTACTGATACATGAGAAGCTAGTTAGATCAAAGGAATAAAACAGAACATCTAGAAAGAAACTCCATTGCATTAAGAAATCTAGTTTAAGATAAAGGTAGTACCTCAAATCACTGAGACATCAATAAACTTCTTAATAAGTGGTGTTGGGACAAGTAGATAAAAGTAGATCCACTCCTCACATGATATGTAAGAAAAATTCTAAATGGATCAGGAATCTAAACACAAAAAATGAAACTATGCAAGTAAAAGAAAATGTAGGAGAATTCCTCTATAATTTGTGTGTACAAAAAAGGTATTGTCTGGGTGCCTGGATGGCTCAGTCATTTCACATCTGCCTTCAGCTCAGGTCATGATCCCAGGGTCCTGGGATCGAGCCCCACATCAGGCTCCCTGCTCAGAAGGGAGTCTGCTTCTCCCTCTGACCCTCACTTCACTTGTGCTCTCTCTCTCTCTCAAATAAATAAAATCTTAAAAAACAAACCATTGTCACTAAAAATCCAAAAGCAATAAAAATTTTGATAAAGTTGACTTCATACAAAATAAGAAAATACTTCTACATAGCAAAAACCAAACAAACAAATAAAAACAAAACCCATAAACAAAGTCAAAATGCAAATGACAAACTTAGAGAAAATATTAGGAATACGTATTATAGATAAAGGATTATAAAACCTCAGTATATAAAAACCTTAAAAACACTAAAAAAGAAGGCAAAAATTCTATAGAAAAATGGACAAAAGGTATGAATATACAATTCATTAAAAAGCTACAAAAATGTCCCTTACCATATGAAAAGATGTTCAATTTCATGCATATTAAGGGAAATACAAATTAAAACTACACTAAAATACCATTTCTCACCCATCAGCTAGCAAGAATTAGAAAACTTGACAGTGCACTCTGCACTCTCACACATTGTTCGTGGGAATTCCATATAGTCCAATCCCACTGAGAGGGAATTTGGCAATTTTTTTTAATTTTATTTATTTATTTGTTTTTAAAATTATGTTGGTCACCATATAGTACTGCATTGCACGGAGCACTGGGTGTTATACGCAAACAATGAATCATGGAACACTACATCAAAAACTAATGATGTACCGTATGGTGAATTTGGCAAATTTTAACACAACTACATATGCACTTACCCTGCAACCCAACAATCTCACACATACGGATTTACCTTGAAGATACTCCCAACAATATGCCCAAGGACACATAATGGTGTACCATAAAGCAGAAAAATGAATGACGATGTCTCCATGAATTCATGCATTAATCTTCAGGATATACTGTTAAGTGAAAATAGCAAAGTGCTGAAGAGTCTATATAAAATGCCGCTTTTGTTTAACAAGGAGAAATTTTAGAGAATACGTATATCTGCTTCTTTTGATAAAGATAAATCAGGAAACAATGAAGTTGGCAAGCTATAAGGGATAAGGAATGAAAGAAAAGGGCAAGAAATGGGTGAAAGTTATCTGGGAAGGAGTGCCACTTCCCTGGGTTTTAACTAATATTGAAAACAAACTGAAATAAGCCTTATTATGCCAAGAACAAAAAGGGTAGAGTTTTGGGGAGGAAAAAGGAGGAATGTTAGAAAGACATGGGATCCAGTTCCAAGGGCTTTGGCGAAAGAATGATGAGGGACAACTAGTAAATGTGGAAGGAGTGCTGCAGTTGGAAACTCATTTTGCAACCAAAACAGTGAATACTGGTTCAGTTGAAAATCATTCTGTACGCTAAGTCTAGGGAGAAACTGTAATGAGTAACACAACTTCCCACAGATTGTTTATTACTAGGAGGGTAAAAACAGTGGAGAAGTCAAACAAATTCTTAACTGGATAATCAAAATCAATATAAAAAATAAGGGGCTTATGGAAGCAAGGGGAAAATAATATATAGAGCTGTCAAACAGGTTCACACTTTGACTGGATGCTCAAAATTATCATCAACAACCTGGTGCTCCCCCAAGCTGAAAGTCAACCCAGAAGATGGTGTCCGCGGCTGGTGCTGCTATCTCTAACGTCACAGGAGGGGGCCTGTGGGGCTGGGACCCAGGTCTCTGAGGAGGAGGTATGGCAAGCTGGTGGGCTATCTCAGAACAGATATGGGGTTGGATCTGCAAGTGTTGGCAAAACTGTAAACAGCATTCAGCCACAGCAATAGGAACTCATGGCCACAGCCAGGAAAGAATTGTTGGGGAAATGCTCACAGGAAGCAAACAGGAAACACATAAAAAAAACAATAGAAACAAACCCTTTTTTCCTCCTCCCATCTTTTGGTCTCCTTGGTGCTTCTTGCTGGCAGAGCCCAGCAGTGAGCTAACTGGCAAAGCATACTGGTGATATTCAGAGTTCCAGCCTCAATTTCACAAAGCAGATTATAGAAAGGTGGGCTGCAGCTGAGGAACAACAGCTTAATGACTGGTATATAAATGAGATCACATTAAGCGTTAATCTAGGAATCCACATCCAATTGCCACTTCCTACCTGCACAACTGCAGGCCTTGACCCCCATCTCCTGCGTCATTTCCTTCCAGGCATCCTGGGGAGTCCCCAGACATGCCTCACCTGTACTAGGAATATCTTTGGGGAACCACTTTTTTTTTTTTTTTTTAAGATTTTATTTATTTATTTGACAGAGAGAGAGACAGCGAGAGAGGGAACACAAGCAGGGGAGTGGGAGAGGGAGAAGCAGGCTTCCTGCCGAGCAGGGAGCCTGATGCAGGGCTCGATCCCAGGACCCTGGGATCGTGACATGAGCCGAAGGCAGACGCTTAACCAACTGAGCCACCCAGGCGCCCCTGGGGAACAGCTTTCAACACTTTGTCCAGGTCACTGTGTAAGGACTGCAGCTCCTCCAAGCCAATGGTGTTCATTTCTCCAAGAAGGAATTACCCCTTCCCCCTCTGAGTTTCTTCACTAAACCCATCTCACCATCTATCCCAGAAAGTTAATCCTCTAAGAGGAGTGGGGTTTTTGTTTTGTTTTGTTTTCTATACAAATTGTTTGGGGTGTAATTCATATATAATAAAATATACCTAAGTGTATAATTTGTTAAGTTCAAATGCATGCACTCTTGTAACTAAGTAAGAGACAGGCGAGGCTAGGTAGGGGGTTACATGACCAGGCTCACAGAAATCCCAGATGTGTTGGAGCACCTGGGTGGCTGAGTCAGTTAAGTGTCTGCCTTCAGCTCAGGTCATGATCTCAGGGTCCTGGGATCGAGCCCCACATCGGGCTCCCTGCTCAGTGGGGAGTCTGCTTCTCCCTCTCCCTCTCCCTCCCCCCTCATGCTCTCTCTTGCTCTCAAACAAATAAAATCTTAAAAAAAAAAAAAAGAAATTCCAGATGTGGAAAAAAATGTTATATACAAGATATTAACTAGAGAGAAGAAAACATAACAAATCCACTTTGTTTGTTCTAAATATAGACAAGATATTTTCATAATATTTACAAATCTACCTTGTTTTTCTTAAATGTTACAGACAAGATATTTGCCAAGTTCCCTGGTCAGTTTTTTATAAAAGACCGACCATAAAATCCCTCAGTCGCAACCCATTCGGAACCCCTGACTAGAGAGCTTACCTTTCTGTTCTCAACTTCCCTTAATAAACTCTCAGTTCACCCTATTTTCCACAAGATTTATACTTCAACTGCATGAGACAAGAACCCCGCAACCCTGCAACCCTGCAATATAACCACCACCACAATCAACCATACAGAGCATTTCCATCATCTCAAAAAGTTCCCTTGAGACCCTTGCAGTTAACCCCTTCCCCAATAACAAGATCTGGGCAACTACTGTTATGTCCCTATAGTTTCGCCTTTTCCAGAATAATGTTTTATAAATGAAAACATAGGACTATGCAAGCTTTTGTGGCCTGCTTCTTTTCCTTAGCAAAATGCTTTGAAGATTCATCCTTTGATGTTGCATTTATCAGTAATTTATCTCAGAGAAAAATATCCATTGTGTGAATACATGATAGTTTGTTTATCCATTTATCAATTGATGGACCTTTGGGTTGCTTCCAGGTTTTTCTTATGAGTTAAGCTATGAACATTCAAATAATGGTGTTTTTGTGGACATATGCTTCATTTTTCCTGGGTAAAGACTTAGTAGGGGAATTGCTGGGTCATAAAAAAGTATATATTTGGGGTGCGTGGGTCACTCAGTCGTTAAGGGTCTGCCTTCGGTTCAGGTCATGATCCCAGGGTTCTGGGATTGAGCCCCACATTGGGCTCCCTGCTCCACGGGAAGCCTGCTTCTCCCTCTCCCACTCCCCCTGCTTGTGTTTCCTCTCTCTCTGTCAAATAAATAAATAAAATCTTAAAAAAAAAGGTGCATATTTAACTTGATAAGAAACGGTAAAATTTTTTATAGAATTTCTCCACCATTTTGCATCCTAGCAGCACTTAGAGATTTCAAGCTGCTCCACACCCCTGTCAGCACTCACTGCTCTCCATCTTTTAGATATTAGCTATAATAGTGGGTGGTGTAGTAGCATCTCAATGACAGACATTTTAATTTTTATTCTTCTAGTGGATATAGATGCTATGTATTTTTTGATTACTAACTGGCCATCCATAAATACTTCCTTTGGTGAAGTATCTGTTATAATCTTTTGTCCATTTTTAATGATTTTGTCTTATTATTGAATTGTAAGAGTTCCTTAAAATATTCTAAATGTCCTTTGTCCATATGTGTGTTGCCAGTATTTTCTCCAGCCTGTGGTTTGCCTTTTTATTTTTACAACAGTGTCTTTTAAAGAGCATACTTTATTATTATGAAGTCAAATTTATATATTTTTAAATTGTACTTTTTGTGTCTTTCCTGAAAAGTCCATGCCAAACCCAAGGCCATACAAATTTTTCTGCTAAACATTCTTCTAGAAGTTTTATAGGTTTAGCCATTACACTAAGTTCCCTGATCCATTTCAAGCTAGTTTAAATTTCTGTATAGGAAAGGATCAAGATTCATGTTTTGCATATGGATTTCCATTTGTTCTAACATCATTTGTTTAAAGGACTATCCTTTCCCCAGTGAATGACCAGGTACCTTTGTTGAAAATCAATTGACCATGTATGTGTGGATCTACTACTTCTGTATTCTCCTTTTATTAAAGTCTCCATTTGTTCATAATTTCATATATATAGAAAAAGTTGCAAGAATAATTTAGATAACTTCCATATACTCTTTCTTTTATTGCAAAAATATTGTTCCATTTGTACTTTCTCTCTCTTCATATAACTCCCTCTCTCTCTTCATATATATATATATATGAAGATAGAGATATAAATATAGATGTAGATATCTTTTGATGAGCCATTTGAAAGTAAATTGGTTGAATATGTCATGGTCCTTTATCCCTAAATACTTTATTATCTGTTCCTAGAAAAAGAACATTATCTTACATAAACACTGAAAAGAAATCCTAGGGATAATAGTTGTTTTCTGTAGTTGCTACTTCTGTGATAACATAGTGTTTTCTTTTTTGCCTTTTAAGTTAACTAAAAAATTTTTCACCTAAGTTATCAGTTCTTTACATTAAACTTGGTTAAAATTTTACATTTATTTAAAAATATCATTTTACTATTGAAATGGAAAAGCAGTATAGCTTGCTATAAATGGGAACTTATTATAGTAAGAAGATGAAAAACTTTTTAAAAGTTATTAAATTTATGCTAGGCACTGTCACCTGATTAAATATCGGAGTTTCCATTTTGTTGTAAAAGGAAATTTGCAAGGGCTAACACAGTATTACAGATATAACCCCCACTGACCCAAGATATAATGTGTTTGTATATACCCAAGGTTAAAAATACAAATCTTTGGAGAATACTCATAGTAGAAACACCTGTTGATAGTTTAAAAACGTTAAATGAATACATACTTTCAATATATTTTGAGCAATATAAACTATGTAAACCTTCATTCTGATGACTATGCTTCTTTAAAAATATGCTATGAAAACATTCTCCAAGGGGCCAATGTCTGCAAATGTCCTTAGCAGCAGGTTTGTAACAGTGAAAAATCTGGGACAGCCTGTTTTCTGACAGAAAAACAGATAAATGAATTTTGCAACATTTATAATGTGGCACTCTGTGTTCTGTTAAAAAGCATGAGATAGATCTGTGTGTATTCACAGGAGGAGTACCAATAATATATTATTTAGTGCAAAAAGAAAATGACAGCAAAAAAGTAAATAAATATGCCACTGTTTTTTCTAAGGAAAAAATATGACTGTGTATGCATTTCATTATACATGCACATAAAAATAGAACTGAATGGATATACCAAATCAAGGGCAATTACTTCTGCCAAGTTCGACAGAGGTAGAATTTCACTTAACATTTTGCAAGTCTCTTCACTATTTGAATTGTTAAATGACCATTATCCAAAACAATTAAAACATCTATCCAACAAAGAGTTCATATAATGATTTACAGAAAGTACCAGCTTATCTATGCTACCTGCCTTTCATTTATTCTTAAAAATCTCCACTTACTTGCCTTAAACAAAACCTTTGAGATAACTGTTCTACTGATTTGGGGGCATCAGCCTCATAAAAAGGACACTGTGATGCTGTGCAAGCATAGCATTACCAGCATAAATCCCCAAGTGAAACACCAGGCGTGTAGCAACCAAGGTCTCATCTGATTGTTCCTTTACTGAAATCCTGGCACGAGTCTCCTGACATCCTGTATGTATGGGGCATTGTCAGGGTTCAAAGCAGGAACCTGCAATGGCAGGCTTCTTGATTAGCCAATGAAACTGTCTAAAGAATTGAGGTCACGGAACACGTGCCTTCACAGATCTCTGAGATCTACACGCACGCACACATGCACGCACACAGACCTCTGTGCACAAGCTTTCTGCTAGTTTCTAAATCCCCGGACTCAGAAAAACAAAACTAATACGTGTATGAAGCCCTAAGTGCTAGCCCCTATGCTAAAAATATAGACATGTCTCATTTCATTATTAAACAGCCCCATAAGGAAAGTGCCATTGTTACTCCCATTTTACAGATGAGCTTCATAGAGGTTAAATAATTTGACCAAGTTTCTGTAGCCTCTAAGAGGAAGAACTTGGATCTGAACCCAGCCTACCTAAATACCAACTACCGAGCTACCTCTGCATGGTAGTTAAAGGTATTCTGGCAACAGCATTCTATTCACAAATGAATGACTAAATGATAGTGTGGATACAAAACTGGGAAGATGTAACATGTTGTGGATGAAAACAGTGGAAAAAGAAAGGGAATGCGATGCCATCGTGAATAAAAATCACATCAAGTTTTAATCAGTTTGATACTATGTAAGGAACTTACCTAACCAAATCTAAAGGCTGCTCCTTGTAAAAATAGGAAAACCGGGCCCAATTCTGGCAAAGTATGTACCTCTCGTTGACAGGATTGGGAGGTTCTGAAGGCTTCCAATACTGACCCTACAGATATTCAAAAAGAAAGTATATGAATGACAAAGCAAAAGACAGGGGTGAAGTAAATACAGCTTTTATAAGGTTAGTGAATGAGGCAAATTGTTCTTTTACTTTTGATTTGAATTTTCATATTCCACTGATGTATAATTATCTCCTAAAATCTACAATAAACTATAACAATAGTGATAATCATTAAGATCCCCCCCACCCAGTTAGTTAAAAACCCAAGTTAAAGTTTGAGACTCTGGCTTTACTCTAGCTGCTCTTTCCTGTGGAATGCCCCTTCTTCTCTACTCAGATTCTACCAGAATATTCACAGCTCAGGGATTCATGTAAACAGTATAAGTGGCTGGGAATTTAGAAATACACTAACACTTTTATTTTATAGATGGAAAAATTATACTCAAGCAAAGTTCTGTGAATGATCCAAAGTCACACTACTATGACAGGAATCTCTTCCAGACTTGTCTGGTCCTCACTGGTAATCACTGACACAATTTCCCAGAAAATTTAAAACATGCAACACAAACATTAGCACCAAAGAACCTCAGTACTGTTTCATGCATTTCCCCCATTTTTACATACTGAGTTGCCTTATTAAATCCCTTCGGGAGGGCGCCTGGGTGGCTCAGTTGGTTAAGCGACTGCCTTCAGCTTAGGTCATGATCCTGGAGTCCTGGGATCAAGTCCCACATCGGGCTCCCTGCTCAGCAGGGAGTCTGCTTCTCCCTCTGACCCTCTTCCCTCTTGTGCTATCTCTCATTCTCTCTCTCAAATAAATAAATAAAATCTTAAAAAAAAAAAAATATCCCTTCAGGACATAGCAGAGTACTGTCTACACATGGTGGTTCAACACATTCTTTTAACTGTTTGCCCAGACAAGTGAACTGCCGAAGACAACATGAATAAATATCCAACTGAAAATTAAGCACATGTGAAAATCTCGATATAATAAGGTGTAAGATTTTATATCACCTAGATTCCAACTTTTTTCTTCTTCTGTAGCTAATCCTACTGAATCTTGAAAATTGAAATAAATAAAAGGACAGCCTATTTGGGTATCTTGAAAAATGATTCTTTAATGCACAGAAGGGAAAATCCAGTACCTAACCTTGCATTCAGGATAGAAAAAAAAAAAAGTAAAACTAACAGTAAGTTATAACTATCTCTCACAACAGCTAAGTACCACTCATCTTCTAGTGATCATAAATGACTCTGCTGGAAGGCTGGATGTACAGATTAAAGTTGCTGGTGACTGAGGATATTAATTTGGCTTAATGACCTGGTAATAGTAAGAGAATTAATGCCCTAAAAACAAACCAAACCTCAAAATCTTCTAAAATGGAATGAGCCCTTTTGTGAAGAAAGACTGACAGAGAATGCATTGTATAGTGTTTATTAACCCACTATATATCTCTCTACCAAATGACCACGCCATTATATTGAATCTTTAATCCCCTATTAGTTCTTCTGCCAAATGTGCGTGGAGGGAGGCGGGGTTTGGGGAAGGAGGATGGTTTCTCTAACACTGAAGTTAATTTCACCTGAATTGATACTCCTGTTAAAAACTGCCACCCATTTTGGAAAATTCTGCTGTACTCTATTTATAGAAAACATATCAAAGATAATCAACTAGACAGTAAGGAACAGACCTCGTTCATCAAAAAGCATCTCTCTGCACAGAGAAATCATTTCTGAAAGGAAGAGTCAAATCGATATGGCAAACTTCATTTTCTTATTTCAACATATTGCCATGGCCACCCCAACCTTCAGCAATCACCACCCTGATCAGTCCCCAGCCATCTGGAGGCAAGACCCTCCACCAGCAAAAAGATTGCAACTCGCTGAAGGCTCAGAGGATGGTTAGCATTTTTTAGCAATAAAGTACTTCTTAATTAAGGTAAGTACCGTTTTTAGGCATAACCTATTGCACACTGAATAGATTACAGCTTAGTGTAAACAACTTCTATATGCAGTGGGAAACCAAAAAAATTCAAATGAGTCATGAAGTAAGCCGATGCCATTGGAAAAATGGTGCCAATGGACTTCCATGACACAGGGTTGCCAGGAACCTTCAATTTGTAAAAAAAAAAACAAAAAAAAACCCCCAATATCTGCAATGTGCCATAAAGCAAGGCACAAGAAAAGAAGGTATGCATGTACTTAAAACCAATCATGTATCTAATGAACGAATACATAAATGCATATAATTTAAGCCAAAACTTCATAAATGAGAAAAGATCTGATGGGTTCAGATAGAAATTTCCAAATATTCTACTCTGCACTGTTTTTTGTTTTTTTTTTTTTAATAAAACTGCTATTTTTCAATATGGGTTCTAAAGAAAATTCACATACAAATGTAATATTTTTTAAAAATAAATTTCCATTGAAAACACAGTGTAAAGTTAACTATGTGTTTCGGCATAGCTAGTAAATTTCTCAGCTGGGAACTAGGGAGTCTTTGGGGGATTTTCCCAACATGAGAAAGAATTAAACAACCTGTCATAAAAAAGGAAGCAAAGGGAAGATTCTCTCTCCCAACAAGGCGACCGACCTCTGAATGTCAGAGGGAAAATGGGCTCAGTATTTCAAAACCAAGCTTATACTTACATCATGGAGTGGATAGGCAGATGAGTAAGTATTAGAAGTTAGCAGTCTTTCAATTCCAAACTTTTTCTTCCCATCTTCTGTGCCAAAAGGACACCGTGAGAGAATATAATAAACCTATGAGGTAAGCATTAGACACACATTTCAGAACTTTATGCTATCCACATTTTTTTCCCATCGCAATTTAACAATGTCCAACTCTGTCTGAATGTACATACAGGATCTGATTACAGAAGGAACCTTCCCTCTGTTGTTTGAGGGAAGATGTAGAGGGTGAGCTTGTATGGAGTTTGCAGGTAGTTTAGCTCCTGGGTATGGGAGCTGTCTATTGCCGTGGGGAGAGGCAGGAATGGATCATGATTTATTTTGCTTCTCCTGTCCTAAGCTCCTCTGGAAGTCTTGTGCCAAAATTCCTACAATCAGGCGTTCAAGTTGGGAGTGTAATATCACCACTAACAGTTCAGCTGTGGGAATATGGGATAGAATTGATACTTAGCTATGCTGATTACTTCAGTTACTGAGGATTTATACAGGGCCTCTTACTGACATCTGAATTTATTAACACAAGATTACCGTATCTCTACAACTACTTTGCATTCATCTCTATCTTTGCATCAGTTTTTTCCTCCATATAATTTTGGCTTTGGTGTTCTCTGCTCTCATATTTCTGCCAGTTCAATACTATCTGAACTTTGTTTTCCAGCACTTTTTCAGAATTTCTGCTTTTCTGATGAATTTTCAGCACTGTTTTCAATCTATTTCCTTCCCCGCCCCCCTTCTCACATCTCCTAAGTTAAAGAATTGTTGGTTAGAGTGCTGGTTGTTCTCGAATCACCATTAGCTAATCTGGTTACTCATTTAAGTGAAGCTTACTATTTTATGTTGGTAAATATATCATAATTTATGAAAGCACTTTTAATTTTTACAAATAATATGATAGATATTAATTATTTTACATACTTTGGATTATTTCTTTAGGAAAGATTCACCAAAATTAGAACTCTGTCCTAGGGTATTAACAAAGTAGAAAATTTTACTCCACCAGATATTGAGACTTATTATGAAGCCATGGTAAAAAAAAAAAAAAATACAGCATGGTATTGTCAAAAAAAAAAAAACAAATCTGGACTTGGGAAAGACATTATATGAAAAGATTATTACAAGAGGGGGAGGGAAACTATTGTAATAGGGAGCCCTGTGAACATCTGAAAAGTCAGGCAAAAAGAGACTTTTCTTTTTATTCAGAGGCAAGCCAGGGTGAGGGAGTGTCCTTCTTTGTGGTAAGGAAGGGCTATTATACATGTCAGTGCTGGCTTGGGTTAAGGGTACATCAAAGTTTAGGTTCCTGTGGGAGGAAAGTTTAATTAATGTTCAGTCAATTCAGCTAACAAATACTTTGTTTTGATGGATCAGTGGGGATAAATAGTTCAGCTAGCCATTTATCAGACCAAGAGTGAGAATATGGAGGGCCTACGTTTGACTCTTATTGCTACAAACTAATTACAAAAGGGAGAAATTACAAGGCTAATTATAAATCTAAAAGAACTGAAATTTCCCTGGTGCCAAAAGGGAAAGAGACTTCCTCCCCGACCTCTCTGTTCTTAGAGCATTTCCTTTAGAGAGCTTGTAATTATAAACTCTTTCTCTATCCCTTTGAGACTTATGTAAATCTGTAGCAAAGCTAAATAAGCCTCTTGACAGTTTTACAACCCAGGAGTGTTTTCCTTAAGTTTTATAGGAGCCATCCCTTTTAAATGTAAACATCAAGCAAGATAGCATCCCTACCGCCCTGTTTCTACGGGAAAGTAGCCTGGGCACCTGACTCCAACTTGTAACTACTTGTTTGGCATAGAGATATGAGAAGCTTAATTTTTTTCTTGGTATAAAGACAACTACCATAGATAGACACTTCAATCGCCAGGCGAATTTAGGATGAACTATGTGGCAAGTGGTGCTGTCAAGTCAAACTGGGAGATGGGGGCAGTGGTTATCTATGAATACTCATAGGGGCTAGGGTGATCCTTTAAAGGAAGCAGTTCACCAGAACGAGGAGTGAGGGATTTCCTTAACGGTCCCTGTTTTCTAGGACTACAGAACTCAAGTAAAGTTCAACGTTGTCAGTATCAATACAAAAGGAGACAAAAGATCAAAGCTGCAGAACTGGGCCCAGAAGTAGACCTGTGAATATATAGAAACTTGAGTTATGACAAAGGTGGAACTGAAAAACAGTATGAAAAGTTGAATGTTTTCAATAATTGCTACAAACTGAATGAATGACCATACATATGGTGGGAAACTGCACCATGCACAAAAATGAATTACAGGTGGACGCTAGGTTTCAATGTGAAAAATAAAATAATACAACTTCAAAAAAATAACATAGGAAATTGACGTCATGGTCATGGTGGTAGTTAAAAGATTAAGAGCATGATTCATAAAGAAAAGGCTTGAGAAACTGGACTACATTAAAATTAAAAACATCTGTTTAGCAAAAGAAGCCATTAAAAAAAGAAAAAGGAAGCACAGGTAGGAAAAGATTAGTAACGTATATGATAAACAAAGGGCTCATATGAGGAATATATCAACGATTTCTCCCAATCAACCAGGGAAGACCTAATTGAGAAATAGACAAGAGACTTTAGCAGGGACTTCACAAAAGTACCTATCTAAATAAGCAATAAAAGCATCCAAACACATATCAGAGAAATGCAAATTAAAACCATAATGACACACAAATAAATTTCAATACAAAGTAATGAAAATGAATGCACAATAACTCATACAAGAGCTAAATCACCCAAATAAGTGTTGAACCAAAGAAGCCAGACTCAAAAGAATATATACTGCATGATTCCATTTTTATAAAATTTAAAAGTCAACTTCTGCTGAGGACAATGGGAACAGTAACTGGGAAGTTAGTAGGACTTCTGGAGGGTAAACAAGTTTTTCTCCTTGATGTGGGTGGCAGTTACATGGCTGTGTTTGCTTTGTGACGATTCAGTGAGCTGTTTGCTTGCAACCTGGGGGCCTACCTCTATTCATATTATGCCACAATTAAAAAAGAAAGGAAAAGAAAGATTGGTAAATTCTAAAGTCGAGAAAGACGTGGAACACGGAGCACTCTCATATGTTGTTACTAGGACTCAAATTAGTACATCTTTTTGTAAAGAGTGATAGTGCAATATAAAATTTTAAATGTGTGTGCCCTTAGATCCAGTAATTTTGTATCTGGTATCAATTTTGCAGAAAAATTTACATATACACTGAAATATGTACATAACAGGTTGAAAACTACAGAATTGTTTGTAAATCAGAAAAGTTGGGAATAAACTCAATAGCTGTTGGAATTGGGAATATATATACATGCTAGATGTTATAAAATATACATCATGAGGCTCAAATGTCATGATGGTTGTGAAGATGCTTTGAGAAGTATGAAATTCAATACCAATGTAAGATGCTCTTGGAATACTTTCAATGTGTACATACATAAACTTGAGTGTCCTGGATGAGGATAGGAAGGAAGGGATCTTCCACATTAATCTCCCAAAAAACTTCTTCAATAGAGCAAAAGTAGTTCTGCTCCACTGAAGGAGGAAAAACTGCTGTTTTAAAGCTGACTTAATCTAAGGTATCCATACTCTTCAGACAGAACAAGTAAAGAGAAATGGATACTAATATTTCTATACCTGATCAAGTTCCTAATTTGCTCCTCCTGGTTCCCTGGCCTTTTGTTAGCTACGTTTTAACATAACAAGTCTATCTAAAGTACTCCAGTTTGCAAAGTGCTTCACACAGAGTCTTTCGTTTGATTTTGACAATAATACCTAACACTTATTGAGCACCTAGTATATTCAGGTATCAAAGTCTTTCATACCTTAACTCACTTCATTCTCAGAGTAACCTATGAGGTAGACTTTATTCCTACCTTAACATGAGGAAACAGTGGTAGGGGAAGCATGATTCTTTAGGAGAGAGGCTTTTAATGGGAAACGTAAAGATTCTAGGACTACAAATAGAGAGGAAATATTATTCAGGACTGAAAGTGGTTTTAAATGAGAGGGAAAAGTTTTGAGGTTTCTCAAACGCTAGCTACATATAAAGAAATTTTAAAATTCCATTTTCATTTGGAATGACCAACATTCTTCCTGCTATGCAGTGTATTTATAAAACCAAACTCTAAGTTTATAAAACCACTTTACAAAGAACGAATAAAACCTAAGCCCTGGCTCTCAGTTAAGAGCTTGTCTCAGTATTACATGAAGCCTCTATCTTAACTGTGTCCACACTGTCAAACTTTTGTCTTTAAACAAGTTTGATAAGTCAGTAGGTGAACAGGTTTAAGTGGTCCAGGTGGACTTTTGAACCCACTCAATCCCACCAAATACTTATCAAAATGTATGCAGACACACTGTGCAGACATCGCATCACACATGTATACACACACGTACACAAGCACACACAGACACATATACCTCACTTGAAGGGATGTGACCAAAGGTCTTCTCTACCTACAATTCTGTTTCTTGATGAGGATGGAAAGAAGCTTGACTCGTCTTCAATGAGGAAGAGTTCCTGCCGATGTCTGGTGAATTGGGCAGTGAAATATTCAGGATGAGGGTGCCTCACATTCTTTGGGAGCTTCAGAGGCCCAAGCATATAGGGGATATTCTCAGATGGAGGAATATCACTCTCCTTAATAGGCATTTTGATTCCCAACACTTCAGCGTAAGTAACTAGTACCTCCCAAGGGGCATGGATCTTGACAAAGTAAGTCCTTCCATCTTCAGAGTTCTGTAGAAAAAGGAGGCAAAATAACAGGAAGCATTATGATTTATTTGTTACCAAACTGATTAAAGAAACAAAGTTATAAAATCTCAAACAAACTAAAGATGTTACAGCAGTTTCAATTTATTGACATTTTTCAGCAAAACTTCTAGAGGAACAAATTCTTAGAACATATATCTATATATTACACTTACATATACATATATGTATATGTGTAAATGTTGTGTGTATGTGTGTGTGTATGTGAGAGAGACAAAGAAAGAATATACTAAAAAATATATTTCAGAGTCAATGTAAACTAGCCAAGAATCTACAGATACATATGTGGTTGTGGGCAATCTCTTAAATTATTAGTGACTAACATGAGCTCAGAACTGTGCTTAGGATATATGAGGGATCCATGCAAAGGATAAGACATACTTACTCTTCTTACCCAGCTAGGTGTGGCCTGTACCTAGAAGAAGAGCTTTAATAGGGGTTCATGACACAGAAGAATGACCAAGTTATAGATTGTAACACATACTTATTAGTACAGTAAAAACAGTAAGTAACAGCTAGAGAATACTGGAGTTCCATGGACAAAGTGGGATCCGAAATAGGTCTTTAAAAACCATTTTGAAGGAAATTCTAGAAAACCAGTGGATGGTAAGAGATTTAAAAAAAATAAAAGAATTTGCCATATTCATGAGCAGAGAAAGTCATCTTGGCTTACATAGTGGGTTATGCTATAAGATAGCAGGTTAACTAGAGTGTCAGATTACAAGCAGCCTTCAAAATGAGAGATACGAAACAAGACCTGTGTCTTCACTTTCTTTGTACCCTGAATAGAATTATGTATGTCTATTTTTACAACGTTTAACTCATTATCTTATAGTCAGAGCACTGACCTGCTTATTTACCAGGAAGACCACAGGCCCTACCATCTACATATCTGTAGCCAAAAAAACTACTGTATTGCTCCCAAACACGAAGTCTACTTGGTCAAGGTCCATAGCAGAAGAAAACAATGCTTCGAACACCAAGACTCTGGTACAAATTAACAACTATACTTACCCTTTTGTCTTCAACTTCCAACTCAAGACCTGTTTTTCTGAGATTTTGTTCAAATTCTTTTCTCCTTTCCTATGGAAAAACAAATCAATAGAATTATGATGAACACTTTTATTTGCCCAGTGATAAACAGACTTGTTATTCAGATGGTCCTCTGTCCCTCCCATAGTTATACGCAAAAGTATTTTATGTATTACCCACATCTTAGCACCATGTCCTGCTATTCACCTGTGTTAAAACTCACAATATAACTATAAAAATCCAATATATCTAGGAATAATTTCCAGGAAATGTGCAGGACCTCTATCTGTAAGTATGTGCAAAACTTTACTAAATAACATTAAAAAAAACTTGATTAACAGAGAGACATATCATGCTTCTGGTTGGGAAGACTCAGTATGACAAATATATCAATACTCTTAAAAAGAAATGATATATTTAATTCAATTTTAAGCCAAAATATCATTATGACTTTTTAACCTTGAAGAACAGAATAGATTCACTTAGAAGAAAAATTAAATTAAAACGATCATTACTTGCGGGCTTCAAAACAATGCATTGATTATTGAAAAATCCTTTGGCCTGCATTATAACTTAAGTGTGAAGAATTTTATAGTAACTGGCTTTATGATGATAATACAGAATGCTTACCTTTACATTGATAGGTCTACCTTGATATATCTTCAAACTTTACAAAGAGTAAAAGATAGTTTAATGTGCTCTTTTTCTCCACTTGCAAAGTTTGCTACAGATGAGAAAAGGTCTATGATAGTGGTGCAAAGTTTCCTCTCCACTACCCCTTCCTAATTGCCTTTCTTTTATGTTATCAGATTGAGGCAGACAGCAAACTTCCAGAAGACCAAAGAAAAAGGTGGGAGGTGGACAAGAAAAAGGAGGAGGGGCATTCAAAATATTGTTATCAGAACTGAGAAAGCAAACGGCTCTTTTCATTCCAGTAACAAATGCTTTGGCAAGTTCCATGGCTGCCAATTCTCTGAGGTCAACAAAAGTGAAGAACTAAAAGGACTGTTAGCCGATGGACCATTAAACACTCTCTTTATGATACATCACTATGATTTGCAGACAGAATTCAGGAGTACAAAAAAGACTAAAACTGCTTAAATGATAATCTTTCTATTCCAATCTACTTATTTATCTGAACAAGCTGAATTTATACTACCATATAAAAACGAGAGGAATATAGCTGAAGTTGAACCAACTCATTCTGGAAATAATCCTTGTTCGTCTATTAATATAGAAAATATATTTAAAGCCCCTCTGTCCATCTCATTAACTGACGAACTGATGATGAGTTTATTTTTTTATGTTTGGTAATTGTCAAATTTTGTAACACAATCATGATGCTTTATCAATTATATACTTGTACAATTGTTTAAAAAACTCAAAACAGAAGAAAAAGTTTAAGGCTTAGACTGTTCTGGTTAAGGGAAATAAAAACATTTCAATGTGTATACATGTATTTGTTGCAGCACACTTACAATTGAACAAACAAGAGACTCCCAAAGGTAAAATATTTACTTCGGGAAAAATTTAAGTGGGGAAAATGGGATGGAAATTTGAGATGAAGGAGAAAAATAAATGATGTAAAATTTCAAGTGTGGAAGAAGGATTTCTTCATATAACTCATTTTTTTAAATGAATAATGGTGGGTATCAAATTTCCATGATATTGAAGTTCTATGGATACATGCTAAAAAGTGGTTTAACTGGACCATTAGCAATACATCGTAAATTACATCCTTTGCAACTATTGAATGTAGGATCAGTGACTGGAGATGGGGAAGACCTGTAGATACATCAGGATTTTAGGAGGGGCAGGGGATGTTCAGCTCATTCTGGACCTGGCAAGTCCGAGATGTCTCTGAGACTTCCAAGCAGAGACACAAAATAGTCATGTGGAAGAGAAGAACGGACTGGAAGGTGAACTTTGGAATTAGCACAGATGTGGTTTTGTAACTGTGAGACAGAATGTTTCATCAAAGAACTGCATGCAGGCTGGGAAAAGAAGAGGACTATGGATTGGACCCTGAGGCACTACAATAATAAAGGATCAGGGAGATGAAGAGATTGAGAAGGAACAACAAATGAAGTAAGAGAAAAACCCAGAGGATATGGAGTTCTGGAATTCAAGCGAAGAACACACATATGAGAAGGCAATGAGAAACATGCTGCTAAGAGGTCAAGTAAGATGTGGGTTGAGACTTGATCCCTGGATTTATTTATACAAAAATGAGCAGAATGGTTGAGGTGATGGCCTGATGGGAGTGGGTTTAAGAGAAAATGGGGGTAGCTGAATTTGAGAAAAGAGTAGCTGGCAGGGAAACTGAGATCAAGTGAAGGTTTTTGTTCTTGGAGAGTGGGAAAATGGACTGAATAAGGAGGTGAAGCATGACTGCTGAGGCATGATTAACTTCACTCTGCTGAGGTCCACGGGCACAAACATGAGGTAAAATCTGTAAGGGAACTGCATGTCCTTCTTTCTGCCGGGTTCTGGTACACATCAGTGGAAAGGTGAGTTTAACTGCAGGTGCTGTTTTACCAAGGAAGCACAAGTGAGGGAGGGGCAGGGGTTTGAAGGCATAGGTAACAGAGTGATTATATTTGTTGACCATTGATTATATTACAAAGAGTAAAAGTTTAATGTGCTCTTTTTCTCCACTTGCAAAGTTTGCTACAGATGAGAAAAGGTCTATGATAGTGGTGCAAAGTTTCCTCTCCACTACCCCTTCCTAATTGCCTTTCTTTTATGTTATCAGATTGAGGCAGACAGCAAACTTACAGCAAAGTTAAGCTGGATCAACATAGGAAAGCAGTGGAAAAGAACCAGCAGTGAAAAGGGGGTTAAGGTATTTGTATCTTATCTGGTCCTGCTAGAAGGAAGAGTATTGGTCCAAAATATTTGAGGGGTTGGTCAGATAGTTAGATGCCTGCAAGGAGACGATAAAGACTTGTAGTTATTAGTAATGACAAGTTCTAGGTAAGTGAATGGCTGATCCAGAGACTAAGATAAATGGAAAGGGGAGTTCAAGGAAGAAAGGGGATAGGATGATAAAATACTCATCTGTGTTCCCTCCTACACTGTTGGTGATTAACATAACATAATAAAATAATATTAAAAAAATAGTTATTGTGTATTCATTGCAATAATCAATAACTTGAGAAGGAATATTGGTGGAGAGGATGAGAGTGAACCAGGAGCTCAAACTGTTGAGAAATAAAACAGAAGACCCAGGGAAAGATTAATGACAGCAACAAAGCAGGGCAATGATTAATCTGATCGGAGTTAAAGCTTGGGGAATTTTAGGGATAAGGTAGGAAGAACAGACTGTAATCGACAATTAGATGGGGGGAGGGCAGCCATTTACCAGAAAAAGGTCCTATGAGTGAAAATCAACCACCACCTGAGAGGACTCTTGGAGAAGGCAATGAACCTCAATGAAGAGCCCAGAGAAAAGGAAAATGATAACAGTGGGTGGATTTCAGGGGCCTGATGGAAGAGCTTCCAGGACAAAAGGGTGGAAGAAAGGAATAGGGTCTTATGGGATAACATCTATTGTTTTTTTTTTTATTTTATATGATATTTATTTCCCATCTAAGTATGTTAGTAAATGTATGTACGTGCCTACATGTATGGATTCATTTATTAATTCACTATTTCAAATATCCAGTATTTATTGAACATCCATGATACTGCCACCGCTGTTTTAGGCATCTGGGTATACAGCAGTGAAAAAGACAAAGTCCTTGGTCTCACGAACTTAATTTATGGTGTTGGACACAGCAAACAAGTTAAACAATGAATACATACAAGTCAGAAAGAGATGTGTTATAATGAAAAGAAAACAGGATAAGGAATAGAGCATTATGTGAAGGCTATTTCAGACAGCATGGTTTAGCCATACATTTTCAAAATGAAAACTGCCTACAAAAAATAAATATTATATTCAGACATACACCTCAAATTTTGGAGGTCACATTTAATGTTGTGGAGCTACATAAAAAATATACCAGTCACTTGGGAGAAGATAAAGAAGGTAGGGTTCAAAATAGTCCAAAAACACAAACTGACTTTACACATCCAATCCATTCTTAGATCTTCTCCCCCAGTCTCACCTTTCAGTAACATTTGAGAGGCCTCTGACTTTTACAATTCCATGGGAACAACCCTGCTGAATTATAGAAATTGCTTCTTTTAATGATTCCATTTCTCTCACCCAAGTACTTACCGCCTTTAATTCCGCTTCTTTCTTTATGTCATCAACATACGAGAGCACAAAATCAATTTGCCTAATCCCATCTCGGAAGAAGATAGAATCTTTGCTTTGTTCATCTTTTTTAAACTGCAGAAGACATGAATGACACAGCTTTCACAGTTTTATTTTCAAGTGGCAAAAACATGAAAAGAATTAGCTAAAATTTGGTCTAATTTTTTTTCTCAAGTCCTGAAATGGCAGGTGAAGACAAATCACCAGAGTTTTTATCAACACATTATGTTTGTTTTAGAAAGTGAAATTCCGTAAAGGAGATATATATACAAGAAAGACCCAAGATGAAGCTAAGCATTTAACTACATGCATACACAACAAAAATGATGCAATTATACCAAAATGTAAAATGAACATATGTATACATTGATCCCAAAATGCATATTCAGAGGGAGACTTGTTATCTTCATTAAAGAACATACCAATTAGTCCAACAGTAATTCATGTTCACACATTACTTTGGGGGTGTAATTATAGACCAATTAATGCATCTCACTCTAAGAAAGTTAATTGATGACTCATGCTTATACTGTTTTCATAAAATTGCCACCTTCTAATTCAACTTTGGAAGGGTTAAAATAAAATCAAGGTGCAGTTAAAAATGAGAAAGCAGGTAGCTTGCCAGCTGGTTTTACTACAAGTAAACGCTCATGCAGATCTCCTTTCAACACCAGTCCCTAAGTCAACCAGAATCCATCCTTTGTTTAGAATCTGTGTTATCAATTCTCTCAGTATAATAGTCAAACTGACAAATTCAATGTTCCCTTGTTGTATGGCTCATCAATTCCTTCCCTTTCAAAACCACAAAAACACTAGAGAGCTTCAAAAGAAGAGATCTCATGTTTGACTGATTTGGTCTTCCCCAGAGTTTATTTATAATATATAATATATAATATGTAATATTTGGAATAGCCCACATATAATACTTAGAATGATGGCAAACAGATGATGCAGTAGATGTCAGTGATCTCTCTCACCCTGTGATGCAGTTGTAACTTAACATAGGCAATTTTCCAATTGCTTCAGCTAACCTGTGAATGGAGAACTGGGTGTTTTTTTACTTTTCATAACTGGTATTTATGTTAGTTTATGAGTTTCTGTTATGGTATTCTATGCTGTTTTTCACCCAAGGCAGGCCAGGGAGACCTCCCCTAAAAAGGAATGGATATAGATCAGTCAGGTATAAGACAAAAATTTCATGTCTGACCTGGTTTTTGAACAAAGTAACTGTATTTTATCTAAGTGAAGGCAGAGCTGATGTGTCTTGGGAAGAACTAGCTCCCATTGTACAGGAGGAAATGAGTGGGAAAATAAAGAAACAAGATACACCCAGGGAGTCTAGACAGTCAGTATCAAAATACAGTAATTCAAATGTTATGTCTGAGTTCCCTGCACCCTAACAAAAGATGCATAATCATCTCCATTTTCCTAAAAGTAAGTAAAAGAATCTGAGAAAACACTGTTATCATGTTACCTCTTGATTTATATAAATCACTATAGAAAGGAAAAGCAATCAAAACAAAAAAATCATTTGAGCTCTTGTAAATCATCATAATATTAAAATATTTTATGAAATCCACCAAAACTCATGGAAGCCAAACTGGAGCGGGGGGGGGGGGGAAGGACTAATTGGACTAAATATAATAAAGCAAAAAATTAGGTGAAAAAAGAAATCAATAATTCTTTTGTTCTTAGTTTGTGACAGCCGAAATTTGCATGGTAGAGATTATTTTTAAAACAATATATATTTACAAATGTTTTTATCGTTTGGCAAGCTAAATCTAGGTCCACAGAGAAGTTCTAACAACAGAGGACGTACACATAGAAATCAACAAAAATCACACTCAGAGTATTTGACTATTAGGGAATAAACAAAGTAACTAGATGAATAGTGACTCTAATTTTTCTGAGTGTTCAGTCAAAATGGGTATATATACCTCCCTTCTGAAAGCCAAATGCTACCTAGGAAAACCCAAACTTCCGTCATGATGTCATGCTCTAATATTAACAGTAAAATGTTTAAAAATATGGAGAAATCACTGGTAACCTTGTCGATCACCATGAGGCACATGTCTTAGTACTGTTAACAAAAAACTGGTTGAAGGGAACTAGGGGAGAAAAGCCTGATAATTTTGTTACATATAACTGAAGGCTATTAAAAAACATCACTCTTCTGTTTTGCTCAAGACATGACAATAAGATAATATCTTGCAATGTGTATATGCGTCTGTATTTATATTTGACTTGTTCTTAGAAATGCCAATTTATAATGAGGCAAACATCTGGGTGGCTTTTCTTTGAATGAGGTAATTGTTCTAAGGTTCATTGTCCAGGATCCCTGGTAGCTCATAAACTTCTAAAACTGTAGGCAAATTGCATGTATGTGTGTGTATATGTATGTAATATATATACGTGTGTGTGTATACATATGTAGATACCAAATAGAAATATATATACTATATACACCAAATATAAATATTATAGTATTAGTACATATAATACATATAAATATGTATGCACACCAAATATATATAATATATACATAAATTATATGTATATGAATAGACACACATATATATTTTTTAGAAAGAGGGTCCACAGTTCTAATCAGATCCAGAAACAATTAAGAATCACCATTCTAAAATCTCAGTTGCCTGGGGACTGGGAATCAGTGACAAACTCCCTCCAAATCACAGGTATACATTGGAATAAGAGTGACTGGGGCTATTACTGCAGCCATCCAAAGCATAAGCAGCATCATTCAGCACTTATTTTACCATAAGACGTCGTCTCAGGAACAAATTGAATCGCTTTGCAGACTGTGAAACAATCAACAGAAAGTTAGCAAATCCTGCCTGACATTAAAGATTCCCAAAACACAGGCACGCAAATACACAAACCTTCAGCATGATCACTCAGGTACACATGTGTACGTGTGTGTGTGTGTGTGTGTGTGGCATTTAAAGCTGGCAGGTGGGATGAAGGAGGGCACACGATGTGATGAGCACTGGGTATTGTACGCAACTGATAGATTATTGAACACTACATCTGAAACTAATGATGTACTATATGTTGGGCTAACTGAATTTAAATAAAAAAATTTTAAAAAGTTGGAGGGTGGGAGAAGCTGGTAAGAGGGAAAGAAGAACAAATATAGGAAGAAAACAATAAAGAATAAACAAAAGGGGGAAAAATGAGACTTCAAAGTAAATTTCCCTAAGTTCTTTATACAGTAACTTTAAATAATATGTATTTGTGGAACTGAATTAAGGAAGAAAGGAGAGAGAAAAAAATAATGAAGAAAAACATGAGAATCATGGAAAATAAAGTAAAATATTAAGTATGCCCATATGTATCAGGCAAAGAAAGTAAAAGCACTACAATTATACTGTATGGTATGGAAAGTTCACCTAATAGCTTAAAATATTTCATAGCCTCCCAAAACACTGGGGTAAAGAAAGGGAAAGACATTTGGTTATTTAAACGCTGAGTTGTCTTCAATCTTTAGTCACTATGACCACTATTTTTAAAACACCAAGGCAATTACCTAAAACATCTGGGAAAATCAATACTATCTGAAAGAAAATCAAACAATGGCACACAAAGGCAAGTGCTGTATTTTATAATATAATGGAATATAAATACTCTTAATAAAACTGTCAATAAAAAGTTTTACTCCTTGTCATGGAAAAGGTTTTGCTGAAACTGTTGTTTTCTTAAAATAAGCTAGAGATCTAAGCAGAGGTGAGTACTGGAGTGAAAACTCGCTGCTCTATAAACAAAGGACCAACTATGTATAGTCGAGTTAATACTGCTGTTGATTAAGAACACAAGAGACACAAGATGGACGCTGGTCACTGCATAAAGCATATTTTATTTTATTATTATTTTTTAAATCCTTTTATTTTTTAATTTTTTAAAGATTTATTTATTTATTTGTCAGAAAAAGAGAGAGAGGGTGCACAAGCAGGGGGAGTGGCAGGCAGAGGGAGAAGCAGGCTCCCAGCTGAGCAAGGAGCCCAATGCGGGACTCGATCCCAGGACCCTGGGATCATGACCTGAGCTGAAGGCAGACGCTTAACCAACTGAGCCACCCAGGCATCCTGCATAAGGCATATTTTAAAATGCGTTTTTCTGCTGGGCTGACATTTTTCATCTTAGCACTTTGATTTTCTTAGGATCTTTCATGAGATCCACGGGTTACTGTTATTCTCAGATGTTTTTCCTAAATTCATTATAGAATTATTAAGGGAAAGGAAAAAGTCGTGTACTAAGCAGGAACACATTATAACTTGCATGGGCTCTGTCTGGCCTATTTGCTTTCTGTGGGATCCTTCCACCATTAAAAAAAATTTTTTTTTCAATTTAAAAAGAAATAAATGATGGGAGCCTGGGTGGCTCAATTGGTTAAGCATCTGTCTCCGGCTCAGGTACGACCCTGGAGTCCTGCGATCCAGCCCTGCGTTGGGCTCCCTGTTCAGTGGGGAGCCTGTTTCTGCCTCTCCCTCTTCTGCTCCCCCTGCTTGTGCTTGCTTTCACTCTCTGACCAATAAATAAATAAACTCTAAAAAAGTTTTAAACATAAAAATAAATAAATGAATATACATATATATGTGTGTGTGTATATATATATATATTCATATACACAATTATATTTATGGGTTTTTTTTTGTTTAATTCTGATTTTAGAAGAAATTAAAATTAAAACATTTCCATGGACTCCAAAAAGTGTCGTGGGCCTAGTAGGCACAGTACCCACTGTGCCTATAGAATAAGTTGGCCCACGGGGTGCCTAGGTGGCTCAGTCAGTTAAGCATCTGCCTTCAGCTCAAGCCCTGGTCTCAGAGTCCTAGGATCAAGTCCCACGTCAGGCTTCCTTCTCAGTGGCGGGTCTGCTTCTCCCTCTCCCTCTGTCCCGTTCCCCTGCTTGTGTGTGCTCTCTCTCTCTCTCTCAAATAAATAAATAAAATCTTAAGTTGGCCCTATGGTCATGAATTAACTAAGTATCATTCATTTAAGAGCTGCTAAGAGTACAGGGTTTAAAAAGTTACCTAGATGATTCCTAAAAAGCCTTCTGCAATAAATACATCTAATATCAAGTTAGTCTGCAGCTTTCCAATACATATGATATCTTCACAATATAAAAACCAATGGGATCAATACCAGCAGTTGGTCTGAAAGCATACTGACTCAACAGTTAATATTTTTTAAACTCGATTTTAAATATATTACAAGATCACCACCAAAGGACTTGATTACAAAAAGATAAAAATTACAATCTAGAGATAAAAATTATAGAATTAATAACTTTATTATATATTTCCATCATGTGCTAAATTATATTTGCTTTTTTATTAAAAAATGGGTAATACTGAAACTAATGAAAAGGTGTTTTTAAAATCACTGCTATTTCCTTGTTACCTTAGTAACTATTTGATGTACTTATTTCTGGCTTTCTCTAAGCACTGAATTTTTTAATATAGTAAATCATTATATTTAACGTACACATTTTTCTTGCCTTTTCCATAATATTACCATAATATTAAAATAAATTTTCATTTTATAAACTTTTCATAAAAAGTTTTCTCTATGTAATTTCAATTCATTAAATTTACTCTAATTTATTCGTAAGAAGACACTTTAGAGTCCTTTCTCTAGGAATAGAGTGGATAACCTGTATTATTGGTGCCACATAGTTGTTAATAGTATTTTTCTCTCATTATATATAATTTTGATCACTCATCTGCATGCCTCTTCCTCTATGTATTTCTTTTTTCTCACACCATTCCTTGGCCATTTATGAATGTCTTCAATAGGCCAGCTACTGACCAATACAGGCACTACTCAGTGTGGTATAGCAGGAAGCACTTGAGAGATTGCTGTCTCAGCTACTAGCTCATTGGCAACAGATGAGGCAGGGCATGAAAGTCCAATATCATAGACAATTCTGGAACTATACTGTAAGCGAATGAAAATCAATATAATTCATGGAGTTGTAATACAACAAGCCATTCAATGCTCCGAATTTCTAAGCAAGAAAAAGTCCAGTTGCTTTTGAGACTTCGATTTCACATTTAAATCTACATTAACCCTTGATGATAAGGATGTAGATACTCAATCTACAAACTATAAAACCCACTTACTGAGTGGACCCTACACGAGTTCTAAATTTAAACAAAAACCACAGTAATTAAACAGTAGCTACCAAATCTTAATTTCTTTGTGCCAAACACTGGGTACTCTGTATATTTAATGTTATCAGGTAGATTCTTATTAATTATCAGCAAATTATCAGTAATAAAGACATATAACCAGCTAGGTACACAAAAGGCTTGCAAACCCTTGGTGTTCACCCAAAAAAATAATAAAAACAACAAAAAGTCAACTACTAGCAAATTCTTACAAAATTGGTAAAATATTCCTTCTTGAAAAATATATCTAAATCCTAAACAATTGCTAAGTTTCTGATGAGTTTTAATATTGTATATGTAAGCTTCAATTTAGTAAATGGAAGTTAATTTGGAGAATCCTCAGTGATGTGTGACTGTGTCTGGATATGCCGATGCTCGTGGATTCAGCAACAGACTTTGCTTTGACAGTATATGTGTAACTTCCTTGAAGACTGCTTTGAGTGCATTTCATATACCCAGCCTTGGTGGTCTACATATTCCTGTGCTTAAACTGTAGCTTCAAAATATACAATAACAGCCATGTGGAATTTCCTTTCTATTTTTCTAGTTTGAAGTATTAGATGGATTAATCAGACACAGAAATATTTGCAAATACTTGCAATGGACCTTAAGAATGTACAGTGAAACACCAAGCTTTAAGACTGTTCCTCGAAGACCAACACATAAAAATCACAGAGGAACAATTAACCATGTAGCAAAAAATTTAAGGAAATGGATGTTTGCACATAAAAAGAGAATCCAATTTATGAGAAGAATGTTAGGAAAAGGACAAAAGATTCTGGTCTTACATGGCAAGAAAAATCAAAATTTCAATGTCTGAATTCCTCAATCAGTTTCACCAAGAAGTAGACACTCCCCCTTTTTTTTTAAAGATTTTATTCATTTATTTATTTATTTGAGAAAGAGAGCACAAGCAGGGGAGGGGCAGAGGGAGAGGGAGAGAGGGAATCCCAAGCAGAGTCCCCACTGAACATGGAGCCCAACACAGGGCTCAATCCCATGTCCCTCAGACTATGACCCCAGACGAAATCAAGAGTCAGATGTTTAACTGACTGAGCCACCCAGGTGTCCCAACACTCATTCTATAGTAATGGGACAAATAATGTCAATGTTCACTCTCATTTATTCATTTTCTTTGTTTTGGTTTTGGTGTTTTTTCGCAGAAGAAAAACTTTGGAAGTTTTTTCCAAACAGAATTTAGGATGAATTTTCTGGTGAAGATCCTTCTAGTGGAATTTTTTTTTCCACTGTGAAGACATCTGAAAGCAGATAGAACAGATCTCTAAAACTGAAGACATGTGGGGTGCCTGGGTGGCTCAGTCGGTTAAATGTCTGCCTTCGGCTCAGATCATGATCCCAGGGTTCTGGAATCGAGCACCACATCGGGCTCCCTACTCTGTGGGAAGCCCGCTTCTCCCTCTCCTGCTGCTCCCCCTGCTTGTGCTCCCTCGCTCTATCAAATAAATAAATAAATAAAATAATAAAATTGAAGACATGCATAGTATTATGATTTCTTAGGAATTTACTGTGAAATAGGATTTTATGAATCTCTAATACCCTTATGCTTAAGACTTTTCCTAACTATTTGTATATCCGTTGCTTCATAGGAGAGAAATTTTTGAAGTTAA